GATCAGCAATTTGACTGAAAAATTGCACAAAACAATTTCAAACTAACATTTTCTCCGTTTGTTAACAATGATATTCGGCATTTCCATTCGTAACTCCGTTACTAAAAAACAACTTGCATAAAAGTATCTACGTATCTATAGACCAGTCTATAGCCTGGACTATAGACTATTCTATAGACTGGACTATAGACTATTCTATAGACTGGACTATAGACTAGTCTATAGACTGGACTATAGACTAGAATATAGACTGGACTATAGACTAGTCTAAAGACTGTACTACTTACGAGTCTATAGACTGGACTATAGACTAGTCTATAGACTGGACTATAAACTAGTCCATAGACTGGACTATAGACTAGTATAGAAACTGGACTATAGAATAGACTAGATTACAGTTTATAGACTGGACTATAGACTAGTCTATAAAGTGGACTAGATTATAGACTAGACTGGACTAGATTATAGACTAGACTAAAGACAGACTATAAACTAGTTTATAGACTAGACTATAGACTACACTAGACTAGACTATAGACAAGACTAGACTATAGACTAGACTAGACTATAGACTAGACTAGACTATAGACTATAGACTAGACTAGGCTAGACTATAGACTAGACTAGACTATAGACTAGACTATAGACTAGACTATAGACTAGACTATAGACTAGACTATAGACTAGACTATAGACTAGACTATAGACCAGACTATAGACTTGACTATAGACTAGACTATAAACTAGACTATAGACTAGACTATAGACTAGACTAGACTATAGACTAGAATATAGACTAGACTATAGTCTAGACTATAGACTAGACTATAGACTAGACTATAGTCTAGACTATAGACTAGACTATAGACTAGACTATAGACTAGACTATAGACTAGACTATAGACTAGACTATAGACAAGACTATAGACTAGACTATAGACTAGACTATAGACTAGACTATAGACTAGACTATAGACTAGACTATAGACTAGACTATAGACTAGACTATAGACTAGACTATAGACTAGACTATAGACTAGACTATAGACTAGACTATAGACTAGACTATAGACTAGACTATAGACTAGACTATAGACTAGACTATAGACTAGACTATAGGACTAGACTATAGACTAGACTATAGACTAGACTATAGACTAGACTATAGACTAGACTATAGACTAGACTATAGACTAGACTATAGACTAGACTATAGACTAGACTATAGACTAGACTATAGACTAGACTATAGACTAGACTAGACTAGACTATAGACTAGACTAGACTATAGACTAGACTAGACTATAGACTATAGACTAGACTAGACTATAGACTAGACTAGACTATAGACTAGACTAGACTAGACTATAGACTAGACTATAGACTAGACTATAGACTAGACTATAAACAAGACTATAGACTAGACTATAGACTAGATTTTAGACTGGACCATGACTAGATTATAGACTTCATTGTAAAAGTGGATAAGTTACAAAATCTACCTAAAATATCGTGCAGTATTTTTCGAAGTTAGAAAGTATGTACTTAAAAAAGTACTAAAGTACTTTTTCACTTACATAAGTATCATTTTCTTCTAATTTTTCCATTAAATTAAAATAAAACAATATTTTTTTAAGTATTTTTATATTTTAAGCCTTTTGGTTTCCTTTATTTCACTTTCTCAGTTGAAATCCAATAATTTTTTGCTTTTGCATAATACACGTACCATTAAAAATGTTATGGGGGTTTTACAATTAGTTATTTTTATGTTTTTTTCTTGTATTCTTTTTTATTAATTATTATTTTTTTATTTTTATTAAGAGAATGAAGCACATACAAGTTAGAGTACAATATTTTTATGTATTTTATTAATTTTTTATATGTATTTTATCATTTCAAGTCAATCTCATCATACGTTTTAAGTTTTAAGCCTTTTAAAACTTTTTTTTATTTTAATTATTTCCATTTTTATGTAATTATGTAACGTTTTGCCAACATTATGCTTTCTTTTTAAAAAAAAAAAAAAATTTGATAATTTAACAAAACACTTCTTTGCTTTAACTTATGAGAGTTTCAAAGTGTTTGTGTTAAAATTTTAAGAATCTTATATATAATTTATATAATTTTACGATTCTCTGGTATACTGTTCTTGATGTTATGCAGGATGTTGGAAAGTTAGTTTTGTTTTTTTTTTTTTTTGTTTGGTATGATGTGGAGTTAAATTAAAAGTTTTGTTTGGTGATATTTTATGTTTGACATAAATTAGTAGTTTGATAGTAACCAAAATTATTGGAAGGATTTATGTTTTTTTTTTTTTTGTATTTTATTAATATTTTTTCGATTTAATTAAATCAACCACAGGGAAAATGCACACATTTAATTTTATTTCCTTGCGTAAATGGGAAATTTTCTTTAAGAAACATTTAGTTTTTTGTTCAGATCAAATCTCAATTAAAACTACAGGTTGTAATAAAAAATTAACTTAAAAATACATAAACTTGAAATTAACAAAACAATTTCATTGATTTTTGAAATCTATTTATGGTAAAAACGAAAAAAAAAACAAATTATGACTGGATGAGTTTGTGTAAATGTTGTTGTGATGATAACTAGTGTCAGAGCAAATGGTTGATAAAGATATCAAAATTACTCAGTGCATAAAGAACTTCATTAATGTTGACAGTTGACATGAAAAGTTTAGAATCATACAAAGTTCAGATTCAAACTGAACTTTACTGGCAAATGATAACCAAGTGCTATGACACCTCAATTATTTCAAATGAATTATAATGATAATGACATTTAATGAAATGATGATTATGATGACAGTAATGAATATTTGGATGTCATAATTATAACATTTCAAAGGGTTTAATAATTACTGGAGTATTACAATAGTTCGAATGAAATATTGGCATAACGTCCTTAATGATCTTGTTGTTGTTGTTGTTGTATTTAAAGAATGTAGTTGATGGAGTTGTTGATGATGAGACAGATTTCCTGCGAAATGATTTACGATGTCTGTGTAAATTTTGATACAAATAATTATAGTAAATTAGGAAAAATTCCATAAAAAATTGTATTAAAATGCTTTCCAAATTTGTAAATTTTTCACGTTTAACCATGATGTTGGATGAGAATGACGATGATGATGATGAGAAGAATGGTAAAAATGTCTTGGTGTTGGGACAAGGCTTAAGGAATGATGACGATGATGATGATAATAAAAATGTTTGTTGATTGTTGTTGTTGTTAATGTTAAATGTTAAAGGAGGAGTTATTAGTATTGAAGATGTCTTTTCTATGCTTCTAAATGGATGTTCATGTATGTTATTTAATGGTGTATTGAAGGAGTTGTTTTCATTATTATTATTAATAATAATAATAATAATTTTATTCTTTGGTTTTACATCAATAGTTTTTTGTGATTTTTCTTCATGTTGCTGTTGTTTTTGTGGTTGTTGTATTAGAGTATCATGTTCATGTATGTTATTATTATTGTTATTATAATTATTAATATTATAATTTCTAATTGTGATAATAATTTTTAGTATATTACTATTATTACTTTTATATTTATGCTTAATAAATGAATTTTCAATTGCCAACATATTCTCTGATTGCTGTTGTTGTTGCTTTTGCTGTTCCTGCTGTTGTTGGTCTTCGAATTGTTGTGTTTGTATTGTATTCTTCTGGCTGCTCCCTAGTTATTTCTTCTTTTGGGCCTTCTCAGCGGCTTTTGTGACTTTACCCGAAGTCGTCTCTTTAAAGGTTACCGACTTAATGACACCCACAGCAACAGTTTGCCTCATATCACGTACAGCAAAACGTCCCAGTGGTGGAAATTCTTGGAAACTTTCCACACACAATGGTTTTGTGGGTACGAGCATTATAATGGCAGCATCGCCCGATTTTATAGCTTTTGGATCAGTTTCAGTTGTCTTGCCGGTACGACGATCACATTTCTCTTTGATTTCGGCAAATTTGCAAGCAATATGAGCAGTATGACAATCCAAGACGGGCGTATAGCCATTAGCAATTTGTCCAGGATGATTAAGGACAATTACCTGGAAGTAGATTATGGAATTCTTTAGTTTAGAGTATAAAATCTTAAGAAGTGCAAACGAAGTAAAGAGAGCACAGTGGAATTCTTTGATTTTGCATCCATCCAATTGTGGCCATAAGGCCTTAGATACTTTGCAATCCAGCCTACACTGTCAGTATTTATAGATAATGACACAGAATCCTTTTAATATTATCCTAAAATAGTGACACATGATATTTAGGTTTAGACTCGAAATCAGAACATTTATACATGACTGTCTTAAGTGCTGCACTTGTGACGGCATCCATCTGTCAGTGGACACTGAACCCCCCGCAAATAGTTTGTCGGATCTATGTAAGTCAATCGCCCCTATGTAGAATTAGAGGTTAATTTTATATTTTTGGATCCTTTCCTATGTATTCTTCCATAATAATTTTGTATCGAGGATAGTACCTAAGTACTTAACGCCATCTAACCTAGGCAATCTAAAAGTATCTTATATCGTTTGGTAAAAAGGACCAACTCAATATTCGCCGGATTTGTTCAATAAGCAACAATCTTCTTTCTTTAGATTCAACCGCGAGTAGCTATAGCTGAGGTGACAAAACACATCCTTGTTGCATCCCTCTGGTAACCCTAATGCAGTGATTCCTAAGGTATCGTATGGTAAAAAGGACCAACTCAATATTCGCCGGATTTGTTCCATAAGCAACAATCTTCCTTTCTTTGAAAGTCTTGTATCCCAAGTTCTACAATCCTTAATATGCGGCTATGCATCATCAACATCCCTTCTTGTGGCATCCCTCTGGTAACCCTAAGGCAGTAATTCCAAAGGTTAATATCTCTTTAGCTTAGCCTACAGTCTTTACAATTCACCGTTAAGGCTTGGATCCCAAGCTCTACAATCCCTAATATATGACTCAAATGTTATAAAAATACAATCTTTGGATGAAAAGCTTAAAAACGAATACTCGTAATTTTAATTTCGCAGATTTCGAGAAAACAAAAGATCTAGTATATAATAAACCCCAGGATACATACCTGAGCGGTAAAATCAGCAGCACCCTTAGGTGGGCAATTCTTGGTATCACCGGCAACATAACCACGACGCAATTCCTTAACCGAAACGTTTTTAACGTTAAAACCAACATTATCACCGGGCAAAGCTTCAGACAATGCTTCATGATGCATTTCAACCGACTTGACTTCAGTTACCAAGTTGACGGGAGCAAAGTTTACCACCATACCTAAGAGGAAAAAAAGTTGAAAAGAAAAACAAACAATAAATTAGAAAGCTTTAAATGTGTGCCGCACAAAGTGAGTCACAGCTTAAACAATAGATACATACTAAAATGCTAAAACTTCCAATATCTCCTACCACCCCATTCCGAGAACAATTAAGTGTTTTTTTTTCTTTTTTGCATTACAACTAACACACAGCCCCATACATAGAAGTACCTACAAACACACGTATTCATACTAATTGTTAACCCTATAACCTAAAGACCCACTTTTTTGTAATTGTAATTTAAACCATTCCTTTCCTAGCGATTATATTAAAACGAAATAGATTTGACTGTTTTTAATAGATTTTAAACTTACCTGGTTTCAAAATGCCAGTTTCGACACGACCCACGGGTACTGTGCCAATACCACCAATTTTATATACATCCTGCAAAGGCAAACGCAATGGCTTGTCGGTGGGACGTGAAGGTGGCATAATAGCATCCAAAGCATCAATTAAAGTCTTGCCTTCAACTTTAGCATCTTTACGCTCAACAGTCCATCCTTTGAACCAAGGCATTTTGTCGGATGGTTCCAACATATTATCACCATGCCAGCCGGAAATGGGTACAAATGCAACACCAGCAGGATTGTAGCCAATTTTCTTGATGTATGATGATACCTCCTTTTTGATTTCCTCATAGCGAGCTTCACTATAGGGTGGTTCGGTGGAATCCATCTTATTGACACCGACAATCAATTGTTTGACACCCAAAGTAAAGGCCAAGAGAGCATGCTCACGAGTCTGACCGTTCTTCGAAATGCCGGCTTCAAATTCACCAGTACCAGCAGCCACAATCAATACAGCACAATCAGCCTGTGAGGTGCCGGTAATCATGTTCTTAATGAAATCACGATGTCCGGGAGCATCAATAATGGTTACATAGTATTTAGCAGTCTCGAATTTCCACAAAGCAATATCAATAGTAATACCACGTTCACGTTCGGCTTTTAGTTTGTCCAAGACCCAGGCGTACTTGAAGGAACCCTTACCCATTTCTTGGGCTTCCTTTTCGAATTTCTCAATTGTACGCTTGTCGATACCGCCACACTTGTAAATCAAATGACCGGTAGTGGTCGATTTACCCGAATCGACATGGCCAATGACTACGATATTAATATGAGTCTTTTCCTTGCCCATTTTCTTTCGCGCGGTTTCTCGCTTCGATTTAACACAAAATGATCAAATAAAGAATTATAAAGGCTTTCTTAAGCAATTTTTAAAGAGACTGGCTAAATTGAGAGGAAATAGAAACAAAAACATATTAATAAATTGTCATAATTTTTAATTAAAGCAATTAAATGTTAATCATTCAAATTACACATATTTTTGGCAGTGGATCTGGCAGGGGTTACCCTTTATTTTAAAAGGATGCACTATTTATTACATGATGGTTATTATGTATTTCAATTCGAAAGTATACATTTTCGAAAGTCGATCGAATTAGCTTTCGAAAAGAGTTACAAATTATCCTCCAGAAATTGCGCTTAGAAAATTTTGTCTACATTTATATCAAGATATACAGAAACCTGAAGTAACAGCGAAATTCTGGGGTCAGATTTGGATTCAGCACAACACCAACTACAGATGTACAGAATTTGGGTCGATTTTGAAAATAATCGCACGTGGGTTTCGCAACAGTATAAAAAGCTTAGATATATTACGACTTTGGTCAAGATCTCTGGTCAATTTTAAACTAGTCTCCACAAAACATAGTCTGGAAGAACTACTTCTCGTGGAAGTTCAGTTCTAATTCAGTTCTAGTTCAGTTCTGGTTCAGTTCTAGTTCAGTTCTAGTTCAGTTCCAGTTCAAATCTAGTTCAGTTCTAGTTTTGTTGTATTTCAGTTCTAGTTCATTTCTAGTTCAGTTCTAGTTCAATTCTAGTTCAGTTCTAGTTCTGTTCTATTTCAGTTCTAGTTAATTTCTAGTGCAGTTCTAGTTAGTTCTAGTTCAGTTCTAGTTCAGTTCTAGTTCAGTTCTAGTTCAGTTCTAGTTCAGTTCTAGTTCAGTTCTAGTTCAGTTCTAGTTCAGTTCTAGTTCAGTTCTAGTTCAGTTCTAGTTCAGTTCTAGTTCAGTTCTAGTTCAGATCTAGTTCAGATCTAGTTCAGTTCTAGTTCAGTTCTAGTTCAGTTCTAGTTCAGTTCTAGTTCAGTTCTAGTTCAGTTCTAGTTCAGTTCTAGTTCAGTTCTAGTTCAGTTCTAGTTCAGTTCTAATTCAGTTCTAGTTCAGTTCTAGTTCAGTTCTAGTTCAGTTCTAGTTCAGTTCTAGTTCAGTTCTAGTTCAGTTCTAGTTCAGTTCTAGTTCAGTTCTAGTTCAGTTCTAGTTCAGTTCTAGTTCAGTTCTAGTTCAGTTCTAGTTCAGTTCTAGTTCAGTTCTAGTTCAGTTCTAGATCAGTTCTAGTTCAGTTCTAGTTCAGCTCTAGTTCAGTTCTAGTTCAGTTCTAGTTCAGTTCTAGTTCAGTTCTAGTTCAGTTCTAGTTCAGTTCGAGTTCAGTTCAAGTTCAGTTCTAGTTTAGTTCTAGTTTAGTTCTAGTTTAGTTCTAGTTCAGTTCTAGTTCAGTTCTTGTTCAGTTCTAGTTCAGTTCTAGTTCAGTTCTAGTTCAGTTCTAGTTCAGTTCTAGTTCAGTTCTAGTTCAGTTCTAGTTCAGTTCTAGTTCAGTTCTAGTTCAGTTCTAGTTCAGTTCTAGTTTAGTTCTAGTTCAGTTTATGATTTAAATAGTTACCGAATATAACGTTCTAAATAGCAATATGTTTAAGAAGTAGTTTATATTTCTGCCATTTGAATACCGGACTTTTGCATCTGCTACATTTATTGATTTTGCTTCCGGTTACGCTTAATATTCTGATGATAAATGTAATTGTTAATTTTTTCAAATTTCTTCAAATTGCTAACTTTTGTCGTGTAAAATTTGCATATGTACATATATTTCTTATTATATATTATCTATAGATCTATTGATCGTATTTTACTAAATGGGCGTGTAAATTTATATAATATTGGGGAATTGGGAAGAAAAATTTCCTTTCCATCTTAGTACTTGTATGACCCTTTTTAATTAGTATCCGGCTTTTAACACATACACAGAAAAATAGTTTCGTTTCTTTTTCCCGTTATATGTATGTATATCGGGAATGTCGGGAAAGGTGTAGGTGGTGAGAGTAGGAATTATATGTTGTACTTACATTTTGTATGCCGCTAGTAAAAGTAGCAATTAACCGTTAGTTGCTGTTAACCCCAAAAAAATTGTCACAGAAAGCACTATAATAAATTGCAAAACCATAAGATATTAATAATATTAAATACAAATTTTAACACTTGTAATAATAATTAAAGAAATTGCAAGATGTTTTTCAGGGATTTTAAAAGGTATTAAGAAATTTGTTGAAAAATTTAATTAGCATATATTAATTAACATTACTATTTAATTTTTAAACTATTTTAATATTTATGTAATAATTTTTAAATTATCTGTTTCTTATTGTTTAAATTTTATTAAGAATTTTCTTTAATTTTTTTATATTTTTGCAGCTTTTATAAAATATTTTTACCGTTAACAATTTAAGTGCACTGTCTGTTCTTTGTCTTTCTGCCAACGTCTGGATTGGAAATATGAAATTTTGTCTGTTCGTAGCACATTCGTGATTTTTCTCTATACGAAAAATCAATAACTATGTGCCACACTTTAGAGTTAACTCCCATCACTACCATCAACGTCATCATCATCTTCGCCACCACCACCATCACTACCATTGCATTTGTCTCCAAAATAAATGTACACAGACGAGCGAGTAAGCATATGAACAGAGCAGAATGGAATGGGACATTCATGCAAACAAACAGACAAGAAGGAAGAATATTAAGCTACCGGTCTCTGGTTGCATTGGAAATTTTCGTTTCGGTTTTTAATCGTTTTTCTTCTTTTGCAATTCGTGGTTCTTTGTTGCCCTTTCAATTTCTATATTCATCGTATCCATACACTAGTCCATCGTATTTACAGTTAAAAAATCAATTCACATGACGATGCACGATTTTCGGTTTCGTTATAAAACGATTAACGCTTGTACTCTCTTGTGTAAAGCATTATTTGGGGTGCAGCAGTTTGCTCCATGTAATGGCATCTACCCGACAGTGCTCCATCGTAATGTGTTTGTGGTGCAACATAATGGAAATTTAAGGAAAACTACGAACCATATACATAAATGAGTACATGTACAAAAACAACAAATTCCTAAACATGAAATTTTGCACTCCCTTGTTGCAACTTGCGCATTGTCATCAAAAAGCAATTTGTGCATGTGGTATAAACTGGTTGAGATTTATTTTTTACGACGACAACGTCTTATTTCTATTCTTGACATAGTAACAAAATTTTGCTGCAAATATGTACTTGTTCTACGTATACTTTTCATATGCGATTCTCTTTCACTAAATTCAAAAAAAAAAACTATTTACAGAATACAGTCAGTCATCATGGTATTCTGTTCCAATTTGCAGTTGTATGCAAATTGTAGTCGTAACATGTGTTAATCATACGTCTTATTTTGTTCATATATGCATACAGATGTCGTTTTATATTGAATTCTCACGAATTTTCAATTTTAAAATACTCAAAATATTCGGTATTTCCTTAAACTACTGGGGATTATTAACCTTATTGAGTTCATTAGGATGGCGGCTATTTTCGTGTTTAAGCCAGAATCTTTACGCCATACACCGGCTTAGGAAATCAGCAGCTGTTTTAAAAATTTTGCACATCAAACGTTTAGAAATGCTTTTGCAAAGTTAAAATTTAGTTTGGGAGTCGTGGGTTCGATACGTTTTAGAGAATAGTAGAGCTCATAGACTAGTCCATAGATCAGTCAATATGCTAGTCAAAGAACTTGTTAATAGACTAATAGACTAGTCAATATACTAATCATTACTAGACTAGATAATTGAATGGTCTAGCCAATAGACTAATCAATAGTCAAATTCATTAACTAGTCAACTGATTTGTCCATAGACTAATAAATATTTAAGAATAAAGTTTCAAGAAGAAGTACTTTTAATCAGGAAAAAGTACCTCTTTGGAACAAGTAAGAATGTATAGTCAGGAGTGGCCGGCTATTTGATACCCTACGCCAATTATGAGTATTAAATGTGATTTATTTTTCTCAAATAGTAGGTACCTTGTTTCCGATACATTTAATCAATGTCAGGACTAAAAACTAAATTTCTGAAAGTGGCTTTATATGGGGGCCAGGGGCAAATATGGATCGATACCGATTAAATTTAGTGAATAGATTTATATTTATATAATTTTTATTTGTGCTGAATTTCATCGCGATATTAGTATTTATAAGTGAATTTCAAACATTCAAGTCATTTTCTGAAGGGGACTTTGTATAGGAGCTAATGATTGCACCCTCATGAGGCCCGATTTATGTTAATTATGAGGACCGATCCTCATGAAATTATATGGACCGATCCTTATGAAATTTAACAGATTTTGGTTTAATTTTTTTTGAAAGCTAGTGTCAAATATCGCCCGATACATAAAACTAACTTTTGAACATTATTATCAGGATCAACATTTAGACATCTTTATGAAGCGTGTTCCACTTGTATAGAGACTAACAGAATACATGGACTGATGTTTCCCATTTCCAATACCTTATCAATAAAGAATATTTGGGAGAAATATTAGCTTTCTGGCTTACTACCGTTCATAGTATATGTAAATGATAATGGTCAACGTCTCAATATTCTCAAATGGTTTTTGCAGCCATATCGATGGCGTAAATTTCAGCTCAAAAACAGTATAGTTATTATGCAATTTGATGGAAACTTCGTAAAGTCAATAGATGACCCTTCGTGGACTGAGCAGTTTCAAAGACCCTTTCAAATTATTATAAAAATAGAAAAAAAAAACCATGAGTTTTTAGTGTGAAATAATTCGACAGTTGATCTGACAGTTTTTCATTATTAACATATCATCCCCTTATACAATTTTTAGTAACACATGATCATATAGAAATAATGGTCATAGACCCACAATGTATATATTCTGGGTCCTTATTAGATTCTTAGATGGTCTATCCATGTCTGACGGGAGCACCTAAAGGCAAATATTTGCTTTGTATTGAAAATGTACAAAATTGGTCCTCATTATACCCTCACCCATATAAGAAATAAGAAGGTTGATCAAATTTGGCATAAACAAAAATCCCTCCTCCAAATTTCATAAAGAGATAAGTAATTGACAAGCGGAAAGACACCCACTTCATATATAAAATCAGTTATGTCATCTGAAAGTCCAATCTGTTAGCTATCGTTTTTCGAGATATCCTAACTTGAAGCTTGGATTTTATTTTACAGTCGATATCTTCACAAGTACAAAAGATTTTTAAATAACTTAAACGGATTTTTATGAGAAAAATTATGACAAATTGAGTTTGTCATAGAATCAAGGTGAAATGGATCTAAAAATTTTGTTTTTGTAATTTCATGGTTGTTTAAAGCTTAAGATGAAGATATCTTGAAGAAGCATGGAGATATGACGGAGGATAAACATATATTTTTAAGTCGAAAGATTGAACTTTCGGATGGCATAACGGAAATTATAAATGAAGATGTCTTCCAGCTTTTATAAGGTAAGTTTTTAGAACACGATATATCCAACACCTGACAGAGGAATTCTGAGATTCGGATTTAGTGACGTGATGCACAAACATATTGACCGGCATATTAGCTGGCTGTCCATCTAAACCTTGTGCTCAATTTCCAAGATATTTTAATGAAATTTGGACCAAGCACAAAGAGCATTATTACTCCCAGCCCCTATACAACCGGACAATTTTGGCTGTTTAACTCATAGCTACGTTAAATATACTAATATCTCTTTAAAAATCGGAATAACTACAAATGAATTATATAAGCATAAAAGATACAGACGATTTTTGGAATGATCGGTCCTGTAGTACCCATACAAACTCATCTTTAGAAAATTACCAAAACGTCCATAATTGTCTAAAACCATAAGTTCAGTGATTACATTCGGCATAACTTATTTCTATATAAACATAATTTTTTAGGTTAGGCCCATATTTGACATAAAGTAGCGAAACATATAGTCAGCCATGACCGACTTTACGAACAATACACTTTTAACTTTGGAAATAGTATTAGACATATTTCTACTACTATTCTATTAATAAAACCAAGTGAAAGAATTTCTACTTTTTAAATTAATCTTTAGAAATGGCAAGTAACATAAATATCGGATAGATCTATTTTCCATTTTATACTGTAATACAAAAATATGACTAATAAATTTCGGAAATTTACTGGAAAACTATAATTTTTTGAAAAGTTTAATTGATTCGATTCCCACCTTAACAATACCTTAGGTGGGACTCGAACCCACAACTTCCGGCCTAACAGACTATAACACTAACCGCTAACCTACGGGAGGCCAAAATGGGCTAACTTAAGAAACAATCATTAAAATAATTTACGAATATTAAGATAATATGTATCTATTTATAACAAATTTACCATTTTAATTAAAAAATTAGTTTAGTATGTATACCAAAATCTATAAAACCACTTTCACAAATATCTAGTGAAGGGCCCTTCAATTAGAATTTTATATTTTATTCTAATAAATTATCATTAATAAATGGTTCACTTTTGAAAAAATATATATAGATTTTTAAATAAAAAACTTAGATTTTTATATATAAATTGCACTTCCGGTTAGATAAGTAGATACATACACAAACACATGCATATCTGCATAGAAAATCTAAGACCACATGTCGCCATATTGCAAAATTACGAAATAGACAAGACCTTTATATTTTTTAAAAAACACTTTTAAAATTAACATATTTTTGTAGCATTATTCATTTATGAAAATAAAATTAAAGATTTTATTCAATTTTTTTCATTGAATTCATAAACCGGCCGGTATTATACATATGTACATATGCAAATGCATATACATATATTTCTATATACATATACGAGATAAAAGCATACTACATTTATAAAGGTAAAAAAATACCTATGCACATATTTAAATTATAAGAAACTTTTTAAAATTTCAAATTAATTTTTAAAAGATTTTCAAAAATAATTACAGTAAACACTTACCACTTTAATGTGTGAAATTATTTGAATTTATTTAAAAATGGATGCTTGCAATTTCTTTAAATTTTTTTCGATTTTTAACAGACACAAAATTTTTCCTGCCACTTACCTCGAGCACAAAAGACGGAAAGGCCGATTTTCACAATGCCCAAGATGCACATGCGCTGGAAAAGCGCATCATACCCATCAAATTATTCGCATATAGTATATCTAATATGGATGTGTCACAACGAATGAATGCACTAGTTTGATGGGCATCGAAAGCTTTAGCCCTTTTACTATTAGTGTAAGCGGGAAATTGTTATTGTCATAGAGACATGTGTGATTCAGTTTTCTTGGTCATTGTACCTCCACATCATGTAATTGTCAATGATGAGTGCAAATAGTAAATCGACAAAGTACATGTAAATTGTAAGTGATTAGCGACTGTAAAAAAGCTTTTTATATATAATTGAAAACTATAAATATTCAAATGTCAACAATTTACAGTTGTTTTGAAAAGTTCAAATGAATTACAAAATCTTTTGAAATCTAATAATTGATATTTCCTTTAGTTACACTATAT